TTGATCTTAAGTATATCCCATTCAAATTTCAAAACCTTCTCAAGAATAGGGTTGAAGCCTTGAACACCAACGAGCAAAGACCGAATAAGCTGTGGGAGGATATAAAGAATACCATCCATGAAGAATGCAAAAGGTCATTACAAAGGCAGAGGAGGAAAAAAAAATCAAACTGGATGTCAGATGAGATTCTGAACATTGTAAAGAGCACTGAGAAGCCAAAGCCAAGGGAAGAAATGAAGGAGCTGAACAGAAGATTTTAAAGGGCAGCTCGGGAAGACAAAGCAAAGTATTATAATGAAACATGCAAAGAGCTGGAGTCAGAAAATCAAAAGGGCTGCACTTGCTCAGCATTTCTTAGGTTGAAGGAATTGAAGACCAAATTCAAGCCACAAGTTGCAATACTTAAGGATGCTTTGGGCAGAATATTGAATGGTCCAAGAAGCATTAAAAGAAAATGGAAGGAGTATACAGAGTCACTGTACCAGAAGGAATTACTGATAAAAAAGAATTTCGTGAAACGGCATGTATCCTGTGGTGGTGAAGGAGGAGTTCAAGCTGCTCTAAAAGAATTGGCAAAAAGCAAGGCTCCAGGATTTGACATATACCAATTGACATATTCCAACAAACAGATGAGCTCACTAAGTTGTGCCAAGAAATATGGAAGACAACCTACTGGCCAACTCACTGGGAGAGATCTGTATTTGTTGCCAGTTCAAAGAAAGGTGACCCAACAGAGTGTGGAAATTATTGAAAATGTATCATTAATATCACATGCAAGCAATATTCTGCTGAAAATTATCCAAAAACAACTGGAACAACACATCAACAGAGAGCTGTCAGATGTGCAGGCTGGATATAGAAGAGGCCATGGTAATTAGGGATATTATAGCTAATGTTAGATGGATTTTGGCTGAAAGTAGAGAATACCAGAGGAATGTCTATGTGTTTCATTGACTATGCAAAGGCGTTTGACTGTGTGTATCACAACAAGCTGTGGCTGACTCTGAGAAGAATCGGAATCCCAGAACATTTGATTGCACTTATGCGAAACCTATACTTGAACCTATACTTGCACTTACTGCAGAGAGTCAAGGACTGCAGCCTTCAATATGGATTGAGGTTCAATGCCAAGAAGACAAACATTCTCAACACTGGACCAATCGGTAGCATCAGGATGGATGGCGAAGAGATTGAGATTGTTCACAGCTTCAGTTTGCTCAGCTCCACGGTCAACACTCTTGGCACCAGTATCCAGGAAATAAAAAAAAAACATATTACGATGGGAAAGTTTGCCGTTAGGGACCTCTCTAAAGTACTCAAGAGCAATGGTGTCTCTCTGGAGACTAAGGTGTGCCTGATACAGGCCATGGTATTTGCAATCGCTTGTTATGCATCAGAGAGTTGGACAATGACTAGGGAGGATAGAAGGAGAATTGATGCCTTTGAGCTGTGGTGCTGGAGAAGAGTATTGAATGTACCATGGACTGCCAAGAAAACAAACAGATTCATCGTAGAGAGGGTTAAACCAGGCTGCTCCTTGGAGCCATGGATTCTGGGGCTTCGTCTGACATACTTTGGACATGTTGTAAGGAGAGACAGGTCTTTAGAGAGGAACATCATGCTGGGTAGAGTAGAGGGACAGCGCAGGAGGGGAAGACCGTCTATGAGGTGGATTGATTCAGTGACTGGGGTAATTGGGATGGGTGTGTCAGAGGCAATGAGATTGGCACAGCATAGAGCATGGTTTAGGGCTGTTGTAGATAGGGTCGCTATGAGTCACAAACGACTTGACAGCACATAACAAAAACAACAACAACAACAACAACATACTTGGACCAGGAAGCTGTCATCAGAACAGAGCAAAGAGACTCTGCATGGTTCAAAATTGGTAAGAGTGTATTCTGTATCCATACCTTTTCAATCTATACGCAGAACACATCATCTGGGAGGCAGAGCTGTATGAAGAGGAATGTGGCATCAAGATTGGAGGAAGATTCATCAATAATCTGCGTTATGCAGATGATACAACTCTGCTTGAAATGGAGGAGAACCTGAAGCGCTTGCTGCAGAAGGTCAAGGACTGCAGCCTTCAACAAAGATTCTCACCTCTGGGCCAATTAGCAGCATCGTGATGGATGGTGAAGAAATTGAGATTTAACACAGCTTTAGCTTGCTTGGCTCCACAATCAACACCCTTGGCACCAGCAGCCAGGAAATCAAGAGATGGATTGCATTGGAAAAGTTATCTGTTAGGGATCTCTCCCAAAGTACTGAAGAGCCATGACATCAGCCTGGAGACTAAGGTGCACCTGATCCAGACCATAGTCTTCACAATTGCTTGCTATGCATCAGAAAGCTGAACAATGACTAGCGATGATAGAAAGAAAATTGATGCCTTTGAGCTGTGGTGCTGGAGAAGGGTATTGAATATACTGCATAGTGCTAGGAGAACAAACAGGTTCATCCTAGAGAGGGTGAAGCTGTTCGTTGTCTGCGCTTCATCTGACATACTTTGGCCATGTTGCAAGGAAGGACCAATTCTTGGAGAGGAACATCATACTTGGAAGGGTGGAGGGACGGAGAAAGAGAGGGAGAGGAGATGGATTGATACAGTGACTGGGGTAATGAGGGTAGGTGTGTCGGAAACAGTAAAGTTCGCACAGGACAGAGGAGATTTCAGGGCCGTTGTACATATGGTCTCTATGAGTCTCAAGCAATTTGACGGCACATATAAACAACAACGACAAATGTAGGTGGAATATACTTCCTTATTCTTTTCTTCAACTTTCACAAACATGAAACAATTGAAAATACCATGACTTGGACCAGGTACACCTTAGTTTTTACACTGAAATCCTTGCTTTTTGGCACTCTAAAGAGATCTCTGATAGCAGACTTGCCGATGCAGCATATCTCTACCTTTCCTGACTGCTGTACCATGGGCGTTGCTCCTACCAGTTTGGTTCTTATAGACTTGTTTTCATTTTCCTCAGATTCAGTTTGAACTTGCAGGTGAGAAATTGGTAGTCCCTTCCACAGTCAGCACCCAGCCGTATTTTGACTGGTGACCTTTATCTTCTCTATCACCTCTTCCTACAGATGTAGTCGATTTGATTTCTGACGATTCCATCTGGTAAAATGTCATTTATCTTTTTAAAGCTTTTCAGTAAAGAAGTTGTTGGTCAGGCACAATTCTGTCATGTGATCTCCAGCCTCACTTCTGTTATCAATGTCTTCTCTTCCCACCATCAGTCCTTGTTCTTTGTTTTCATCTGTGCATTCGAATCACCATATATTACTAGTGTGTCCTGATGTATGTTTGCTCAATTTCAGACCTTAGTGGTAGATAGATTTCCCTCTTTTTTGACCTTGGTGGTTGGTGCATAATTCTGAATTGTAGATTGATATATTTTCCTTGTAGACAGTATCTTGTTACTGAAAACATTGTACTTCAGGATAGATCTGGAAACATCCTCTTTTTGACAATATGACACCATTCCACTTAAATTTGTTATTCTAGACATAAAACAAAATTAAAACAAGCTTGGGAGTGGGAGTGGCATCCACTTCCATAATAGCTTGCCTCCAGAAACTCTATGAACCCGGAGAAAGGATGAAAGTCACGCATGCAAGTGTTGAGGACTTTCGTTCATAGGGTTGCTATGAGTCGCCTACAAATTGACACTTAACAACAATAACATCAACATAGAGAGTAATCAGTTGGCCCAGTGGACAGAAAGCGATGCTACCAAGTTGGAGGTGGGTGACTTTTAATCCATGGCCCTCAGGCCTGTCTTTCATTGTTTTTGTTCAAACATTCTTCTAGATCATATAGCCCTGGTGTGTCCACTTGCCATACAGCAGTAACTTGTGGTTGCTGTGAAGTTGAACATTGTGAAACTGATTTGTCAAATGTGTTAATGGTTATCCATGGCAGACAGTGTTTGTTGGAGCTCCCCAGTTAAAACAAGCTTGGAAGCAGGAGTGGCATCCACTTCCATAATAGCTTGCCTCTGGAAACCCTATGAACTTGGAGAGAGGATGAAAGTCACACAAGTGTTGAAGACTTTCCTTCATAGGGTCACTATGAGTCGCCTATGACTCAACGGCACTTAACAACAACAACAACAACAACAACACACATAGTAGACCATGTGACTGTCTTAAATTGAAAATGGCCAATATTCAGTATCAGTTAATTTTAGCTCACTAGACTGGGATGTTAATCTTTATTCATTCCTTTTCATTTTTTACAAATTCCAATTTTCCTAAATTAATACTTTGCACATGTCTGATTATCAGTGGATATTTGCAGCCCTTTCCTCTCGTTTGCAGCGTGAGTAGAAGCTTACCCCATTTGTGTCATGAGGAAGATTCTGTGCACAGAGGCACCTGTTCCTTGCCTGTGTTTGCGTGCCTTCCCACCTGACAGTCTCATTTTCTTGGGTTCCACTGGACAATGTACCAGGGCTATTATTTCAGAAATGGATGATTATTCCTGCTTCTGAGTCTGTCTTAGTCTGGGTGCCTCAATGGGTGACCCTGCTAGTATAAAATCTGGCACCATAGCGTCCAGCATCATGGCACCTGGTAGCCACCACTGTGCAGCAGACTGAGGGGCAGGTGGTAATGTAGAAAGTGGTTCTGCTCATCAGCCCCTTGCACGGGGCATGCTCTCCCAGCTGCCTGACTTGTAGACAGACTCTGCAGGCGTCCCACTGCCCCTGTATGTGTTGGTCCCTGTTCTCTTTTCAGAAGACCCCTCTGAGAGACTAGGTTAGGGTCTGCCAACTCTGGCCTGCCTCTGTTCTTCCAGACAGGATCTCAGTCACAGACATAGGGGTTAGGAGGTCAACACGCACTTGGGGGACACAACTCCACACAGCAGTGATGACTGACATTAGGGTGTGTGCGAGCCACAGGTACATGCGTGCGCACACAGCCTCCAACAGTGTGCCCTGATGGTGACCACCCCTCTGTCTGTACTTCTGCTCCCTCAGAAAATTCAGGACCTGGAGGCCACACTGTACGATGCGCTGCAGCAGGACCCAGGCTGCAGGGTGGGCGTGACGCTGAGCGAGGACCAGCGCGGGGACCTACAGGCCGCTGTGGAGAAGGTGCGCAGGCAGATCCTGAGGGAGAGCCGAGAATGTGACAGCCAGGTGCTGAGGGCACGCACGGAGCTGCTGCAGCAGGCCCAGCAGGTGACATGGGGACGTCCACCTCCCATCCCCCACGTGTGCTCTGATGCTGAGGACAGGCATGGGGGGCCAGCTCTCCAGGGAGGCTGAGAGTAGATCTCAGTCCTGTGAACAAAGCTTTCCTACCTGCTCCAAGACACCCAGCTTTGGCCCAGGGTTGGGGGAGGGACGTGGAAGAGCTCCAGTAAACAGGAGACCCCTGGTCATGCTTGAGGGAGGATGAGCTGTGGGGAGGTTGAGCATGCGGAGAAGACAGCATTAGTTGGTAGAGGGACAGAACATACCAGAGTGGCAGGGAGTCAGAGGCCCCCGGCTTCTCTGCCCTGAGACACCCCCAAAGCAGAGATGACCATAGTGAGGCTGTGTGTCCTGGCACAAGGGTTAGGACCTGTTGTTCATCTCATGGGCACACGGTGAACTGGCTGGGGGTCCCACTACCTGGGGATGGGGAGGCTGCAGGTTCAGGGTCACGGTCACACACACACTAGAACACAATAAAGGTGTTTCTGCTGGATGTGCCGACCCTGACACAGAGCATGTGTTTCAGAGAGTCCGGGACCTAGAGGCCAAGCTGGAGGCTCAGAAGAGGCACCTGAAAGAGCTGGAGGAAAAGGTAAGGGGATGTTTGAGGTCCCATCAGAGTGAGCAGATTTGCTCACCAAAGGCCCTCCCTCCCATCAGCACCATCAGCGCATCCAGGGAACTTCTCGGCGACCTGACCCCTCTGTGTGGAGTCTGCTTCCCACTAAATCTCTCGGGTGCATGGACTTTTGGGGGTGAGCGGCCTTCATTTGGATGCTGGGTCTAGACTGTAGCAGAGAGCCCCAACCCAGAACCTCATGTAAATGTTGCCAAAGCCCACATGCTCAGAGGCGGCATGTCTCCCTACAAGGACAGAGGATGAATCTACTTCCCTCCTGTCCCGTCGACACTTCAACTGTTACCATCTTGTGCCCAGCATATGTGCTGAGATGGATTTACATGTTGTCCTGACCCCAGAGCAGGAAGGGTAGACCCACAATGCTGTAGCCCTTACCCCATGTATCCCCAATCCAGGCACCCATCCCAAGGGTCGCAGCCCCAGGTGCTCTACTCCAAATGCCCCCATCCCAGGGGCCCAGCCCCAGGTGTCCCCACCCCAGGCACCCTGCCTCAAGTGCCCCCACCCTAGGGGCCCCACCCCAAGTGTCCCCATCCCAGGGGCTCAGCCCCAGATGCCCCCATCCCAGGCGCCCAGCCCCAGGTGCCACATTGGAGCAGAGCAATCTGAAAACAGCATCTTCTCTCCAGCATGGCTCTGCTCTTGTTGAAGCATCTTGGTGGTCTACCTATGGTCTCATTCCCTGTCCCCAAGACAGGGCCTCATGGATGAGAGAGAAACCCTGATTCTGATTTTTATGCACAGCAAGTGATGAGCTCATGAGGTGACGGGGAGGGTGACTGGGGTCAGCTGGGAATGTCCACTCATCCAGGACATGCAAGGACAAGAGGGGCTCACTGGAGAACAGGGGCCAGGGCTGCCCTGAACAGAGAGTGATGGGAAGCTCTGGAGATGCTGGAGATAAAGGCAGCCTTGAGATGCTACCGGCTTTAGAAGCTACTTCTTCTCAGGAGACTAAGCATCTAGGACTTAAGTCCCTCTCTCACTTAGAGTCTGTTTGGATTTTTACTTTTTCCCATAAGCAATAATTACTAGTACTAACTTCAGGAGGCTCTGGTGGTCTAGTGGGTAAGGAATTGTGCTGACACCTTAAGGCATGTGGTTTGAATCCACTATCTGCTCTGCAGGAGAAAGAGGGGCAGTCTCCTCCCTGAAAACTCACTGGAGGGTCAGACATGAGTCCATTCTGACTTGATGGCACACAACAACAACAACAACAACAACAACAACACTGATTTCAGCAGCACATGGCAGAAATCTGTTACAAATTCAAGCCAGATTCAGAAGAGAACATAGAACAAGGAACATCATTGCTGGTCTCACATGTACCTTGGCTAAAACCAGAGAATACCAAAAGGCATTTAACTGTGTCTTATTGACTATTTATTGACTATGAAAAACAGAAAGCAAAGAGTGTCAGAGGAATGTCTATCTGTGCTTCATTGACTATGCAAACACTTTTGGCTGTGTGGATCACAACAATGGGAATCCCAGAACACTTGATTATGCTTATACGAAACCTATACTTGGACTGGGAAGGAGTCTGCAGAGCAGAGCAAGGAAACATTGCATGGTTCAAAATCAGAAAAGGAGTGTGTCAGAGATGCATCCTGTAGCCGTACCTTTTCAATCTATATGCAGAATAGATCATTGAGGAAGCAGGGCTTTAGGAGGAGGAATGTAGCATTAGGATTTAAGGAAGACTAAGGGGTCGTGGTACTAGGGATATTGTAGCTGATGTTAGGTGGATCTTAGCTGAAAGCAGAGAATACCAGAGGAATGTCTACCTGTGTTTCATTGACTATGCAAAGGCATCTGTGTGGATCATAACAAACTGTGGCTGACTCTGAGAAGAATGGGAATCCCAGAACAATTG